CTCTCTCTCTCTCTCTCTCTCTCTCTCTCTCTCTCTCTCTCTCTCTCTCTCTCTCTCTCTCTCTCTCTCTCTATCTCTCTCTCTCTCTCTCTTTGCACCCCGTCTCCTCCGATGCGGACAGTCCGTCGTCTCGCACCAGCACTGAGTCGTCACCCCGCTTAGTCCAAGCACGCATGCCAGGTTCGCCAGTGCGCCACAGTCCGTCGTGGCCCACACGTCAACCCCGCTTACTTGGCACCAGCCCGTCGGATCGCCCGACTCACTTCTACTCACCTTCCAACTTGCTCGTTAGCCGATCCTCACTGACCGCGCTAACCTTCCAAATCTAGAGAGAGCGAATTATTCGTGCTTGCGAAATTTATAGCTTGTGTGCTCGCGCGAGGAACCCGGGATCATACCCCAGACAGAAGGAAGGAGGAGAGAAGAGAAGTGCCTACGCCCTACATGGCCAGGCCGCGGCGTGGGAGTCGTAGCCACTCTCCATGCATCGATCTGGGCATGCAACACTTCGGCCTATCAGAACGGGGGAAAGATGCATGCTCAGCAAGAAGGAAGAAGGCCGGAAGAAAGGCGAGAGAGTAAAAAAGAGAGAGATACACTTACAGTTGCGCCCGCCAAAAGATACAGTTACACGCAAGATTAAGGGCGCAACTTAGTCAAAGCTCTCCTCCCGCCCCGACAAGGTGCGCGCTAATCAAGAAGCGTAGCGCCGTAAAATTTCAAGGTTCCTTAATTTCTAACTAAATCCAAATTGCAGAGAAAATTCTGACGAAGCAAAAAGTTACGAAAAGAAAAAAGGAAATCAACGATTCCAAGAGCCCACAGGGGCTCGTCATCAGTTGAAAGAAAATTTTGAAAAAGAAGACGGCATTCCCGTGCGTTCGTCGCGCCAAAATTCTCGTTTCCCTTAGCCCCAGCAGAACAAGAAGGAAGCTATGGCAAGAATTATTTATCGCTCTCGCTAAGGCGTGGTCTCCAAACTGTCTACGCGGGACTTTTTCCGATACTGGCCCAACAAAATCGTAAAAAGAAAATGAAAAAGAAGCGAGGGCATCCATGCAACTTGCCCGGCCGACCCATCCCCACGTACCCCGTCCCGTTCCCCCAAAGCAGCTTCGCGCAAAAAGTCGCGTGATTACAGAAAATGGTTTGTCACATATGTGACGCCCAGGCGGTTCTAATCTTGAGCAAGCTCCCGCTTGCTCACTCACTATGCGTCGATCTATAACCCGAGGATCGACGCGGAGCTCACACGTGCCACTTACCGTAAGATAAGAGTGTGGAAGTCATTCCATGTGACATTCGTGGGCTCTATCCTAAACGTTCTCGGGGCAGGGCAATCTGATAACGGGCGGAGAAGGTGGTGGATGGACTTGGGGGAGGGGAGGTATGAAGCGACGGATTTCTCTATCCCTGGTGGGGATTCGGGTGTAGTGGATGGTGCGGTGGATACGAGGGAATCGGGGGTGTTCCCATTGTTTAGGGAGAGAGGCGAGATAGTCGGGTAAAGGGTAGAGAGGGTGCGAGGGATGGCAGCATGGAAGCTCTCGTAATTCTCGCAGGCGGGGATTGTGCCCGAGATGATGCAGTAGATTTCTATATTATTAAATTCTCGCCAGGTCATACTTAAAAGAAGGACATGGAGAGGAAAGGAGGCGACAAAGGAGCGGGTGGTAGCATGCGGGACGATGGTGACGAGAAGGTGGGTGGAGTACAGGAAGAGAGGGGGCGGGAAAGGGCACCATCCATTAGGGAAAGAGGGTCGACCCAGGAGTTGGTGAGGAGTGAGGAAGTCACGGGGACGACGGGATAACGACCAGGGACAAAGCCCGATTGCCCGCATTTCGACGAAGGTGAAGAGTGGCTCTGGATGGCGGAGAAGGCGGAGCCGATGATTCGCTCCTTCGGCGGCGTCGGCTCCCTGATCCCTCTGCCGCGGCTCCATTTCCTTCGGACTCTTCGTGCGGTGGCTCCGGATTTAGCGATGGATCGTCTAGCAGTGGATGTGGTGGCGGCCTTTCGGATTTTTCGACTGGCCGCTTGCCCTTCGCTTTTTCCCGCCTCCTTTGAGCTTCGGCTTCTTCCTCCTCTTTGCTTCGCCTGGGACGGCCACTCGGCTCTCCCGATCCACTTCCCTCTCCCGTCGCCTCTTCTTCTTCCTCTGAGCATATGTATTCGGGATCGTCCCGATCGGTGCCCGACTCTTCCTCCTCTGCCTCTTCTTCTTCTTTGTCATCTCCATCACCGACTCCTTGCGCGTTTCCTCGCCGGATAAAACGGTCCCACAGTGTGAGATCGGCGACGTCGATTTCGAGATAGAGGCTCGGGGACGGGTAAAAGCAGTTATCCCCGTCCAACTCCGTACACGTGGACCACAACAGATGCGGCGCAAGCGTGCGAGTGAGCACGTCCGTCTCCAGCTTCTCGTCACACCTCGACAGGATGTCGAGGGGTAAATCGTCCACCAGCTGCACTAAAAACACCAACAACTCATGCGTGATTGCATCGTGATGGCCTTCTTCCACCTTGCCGAATAATATCCTTAGCAATTCCCCCTCCGTATCCGTCCCCCAAGCCTGCGCAATCAACAGTTCCACCTCGTCGTCCTGAACCTCAACCCCTTCAGCATCTGGGGCCGGCTTTGCCCAGTGAAACACCACCCCCACCAAACAGAAGCCGAGTTCCACGTAAGCGTCCCACCACTCGTTCCACTTGTCTTCATCCAAGATCGGTACACTGAGCTCCCAGATCCAGAAAGAGAGGGCGTGATCGATAGCAAATTTCCAGAAGCTGCGGAGATCAGACAGAAGGTTGAAGAGGGCGAGACGATGACAGTCCATTGGGGCTGCGCAAAGGGAAGGAGCTCCGGGTAAAGGATCTCCGGCGTGCTGCTGGAGGTGCGGAATCGGAGATCTATATCGTTCGAGGTTACGATCCTTTCCCCCGGTCGAGCCAACAACTCGATCCACGTGGCCGTGATCTCCACGGCCCAACCCCGCAACTGCCGATAGATGTCCGCATGAATCGTCGAGTGTACCGCCGTGATATCACCCGTGAAAGTGACAATGACGGATATGTGGCTAATACCGGGCGAGGACCGTTGCTGGAAAGCCGAAATCTCGACCAGTACACGCGTCGCCCCTACGTGTACGAAGCGGAACTCTGCTGCTGCGTGGATGGTTGTTGTGCTGAAGAAGGCTGCGAATCGAGGAAGATTGGGACTCAACCGAGGTCACTGCACCTGACGGATTGTCGCTATACGCGCCCTTGGGGTCATCAAACGCTCATTGATCACCTGCTCCGTCGAAAAACTCATGGCGATGGAGGCGGAGTCGAAGACGATGGTTGAGAGAGAAAAGAGGATTCTAGATCGTCGTCTTCTTCTTCTTGACTGAGGGACAATGCAGATGATGGAGGAGAAGGGGAAGAGGGGAGAGGATGAAGGTAGGACACGTGTCGAATGATCGGACGAGCCGATCGATTTCCCGACACCTCCGACGCAAGCCGCACCGTGTTCACCCCGCTTGGACCGAGCTCGACCACGCGAAATCGCCCGAAGAATCGTGGCGCTATCTTGCCCTGGTGAGCACATTTCCTCACCTGCACGATTTCCCCTAATGTATATTGGGGTCGAGGCCCAGTGTTCCCATTCCGGGCCTCGTAGCTCCTGACCTGTCTCCCATGGGCGATTTTCGTCATTCGTTGTCTTTTTCGGGCCAATCGGGGGAGGACCTTTTCCATCAGTTCTAGGTGGCGTTGGGCCTTATCCTTAACCGTCGCCCTAGTGGTCCGTCGCGGAAGGGTCGTTTCATCATTTAGGCTCGGTAGGGCTACACAGGGTAGGATATTGGTCCGTAGTTGGAAGGGGGTCAGACCCGTGGATTCGTGGGGTGTCCCCCGGTGGATAGCCATGATATGGTCCACGATGTCGGACCAACTTGAAGGCCTCGTGTCATTCGCCACGATATTGCGCTACAAAGCGGTCTTAATCACTCGATTGGCGTTTTCCACCAGTCCGTTAGATTGCGACATGTGGGGAGCAGTATTGCGGATAGAGACACCGTATAAGACTAGATTCCTCAAGACTTCCCCTCTAAGTTATGCCCCATTGTCCGTTAGGATTTCCTCTGTGTCTTGGTACATCCCGAGAAAACGGTTAATGTATCGCGTGATTTCGGCCGCCTGTCGCGTCTTGCATGGATACGCCTCGATCCATTTCAAAAAGTGATCCACGAATACCAACAGAGTTGAATATTCACAGCTATTCGGTCCAGGGGGTACGACAATATTGGTGGTATCCATACTAACCCTCTGGAATGGTCGTTCGACTATGGTAGGCACTATCGACCTAGGGGGCTGAATTGGCGCCTTGTCAGCGACGCAGACCTGACAATTTTGGACGATGAACTTAACATCGTCGCGAATGTTGGACCAATACCACTTATTTTTATCAATCGCCGCCTCCGTGATTCGGACGGCGAAATGGGCCGCAATTTCCTCGTGTGCCGACTTTACCCAATCATACCTCATGAATGGATGCAGCACGGATATCCAGATCCCACTACCGTTTGTCTTCCGTTTCTCCAATCGTCCCTCATTCCATCGATAACCCCGCGCCCTCTCATTAGCCCTCCTTCGATCCTCCCTTGTGAAATCTCGGAGGGAGTTCCCTACCAATGTGGCTATTAAAACGACATGGGTCCATACTTCGGCCCTTCTAAACCTACGGGTCTTTTCCAATCCTTCTGACGTGGCTTCAAGGAAACGAACTTCGGTCGGAATTTTGTTCGTTCGACACAAAGGGCATAACGAGGCCTTGTCGGCATTCCTAAACTGAATGCAGGAGCCAAGGGCTCGGGAGACGCACTGTTGGCAATCTACCCACTCGACATATCCCTCCCCGCTAGGACGCATAGGGACCGAGTAGACACGTGAGATCGCCTCACAAAAATAACAAAATGTGTCAGGTAGAAAAAAAAAGGACGAAGACGAGAGGGGAAAGAGATGTCCTTCATAATTAACTTCGTGCCCCATCGTCATTGTGTCTGCTGATTACTTCGTAGAAGTTTGAGGGAGGATGGCCACATGTCCATACAAGGGTTCGACGGTTGGTTCCGACTCGTTCCACGGTATAATCTCTTCGCCCTTGGCCAACTTGTTTGGCCGGTGCAGACGCGTTAATCCGTCGGCATTACCGTGCTTCTCAGTCTTCCTGTGGACGATGTGGAAATCATACTCTTGCAATCGCACAACCCAACGTTCGATCATACCCTTGTAGTTAGTAAGTCTCTTAAGAGCCATCAGGGGCTCATGGTCCGTGACGAGGAGGAACTTCTATCCGTACAGATACGGATGGAAGTGTTGAATCCCCCAAACAACTGCGTAGCACTCTGCCTGAGGCGCCAAATCGTTCCTTCTCTCGTCCGGTACCGTTCGCGAAGCGTACTCAATAACGTGTTCGTGACCATCGTTCCCCTTTGGGGCCAAAATAGCGGAGACTGCTTCAGGCTGCCAGTCAGTAATAAGTATGAACTGTTTCTCCAGGTCAGGCCGGATCAAAATAGGCGCCGTGGCCAAAGCCTCTTTAAGAGTGACAAAGGACCGCTCGCACTCCGCGTCCTAATTAAGTGGCTGGTCCTTCCGTAGAAGATTCGTTAGGGGTCGTGCGATGGTCGCAAATCTTTTGATAAATCGACGATAGTACGAGGCCAGTCCCAAAAAGGCCCGGACTTGTGTCAACGTTGTTGGTGTGGGGGCCTCCCGAACGGTCGTGACTTTCCTCGAATCCGGTCGGAACCCTCCCCGGGTCACCACGTACCCTAGGAACGAAATCTCTGAAAGAAAAAACTCACTCTTCTCCAATGCAATCTTGAAGCTAGCATCCTGCAGCGCCCCGAGCGTCCATTCGATATGTTGTGCATGCCCGTGGAATGATTCCGAATAGACCAAGATGTCATCCATGTACACAATGACGCAAAAGTTGATCATGCCTTGGCTGAGCTTGGTCTTGTTGACGAAATTCTGGAACGTGACGTTCATCGCTCTCTGGAAAGTGGCAGTTGCATTACAAATTCCCATTGGACAACGGACCCACTGCCAGGTGCCTTCGAATAACACAAAGGCCGTCTTCGACCGATCCTCCTCTTTGACCAGAATGAGGTGAAATCCGTGACGGATATCAAACTTGCTGAAATAATTCGCACACCCAATCGCATCCAATAGATCATCAATCCGGGGAAGGGGGTACACATCTTTAATCGTGATCACATTCAATTTCCTGTAATCAATGCAAATGCAAATCGATCCATTTTTTTTCGAAACTAAAACCACAGGAAATGATCATGGTTCGGTCGCTAGTTCAATCCACCCGTTAGCCTCAAATTCTCTGATTCTTTGTGGTGTTATTTTACATTCCGCGAAATAATATCGGTATGGTTTGCAGTGGATTGGCGGGTGCGTTCCGGTCTGAATTTCATGTTGAATGACTAGAGACAATCCGATGTCCGTATCTGTTACGCTAATCGCCCCTTCATATACGGCCAAAATATCCACAATCAATCGATGAATCTCATTGGGTACGTACTGCGGTAGATGCAGCTCGTACGGCTGCTCGTGTAGGGTAACCGCCACGTGTTTCGTGTTTACTCTGTTGCTACTCTCTACACGGGGAGAAGAAATAAAGGAGTTGTCTGACTGCCAGGAGAACATGGTGACGACGATTTGAGCGTCTTCTTCCCGGATGGCCATGTGTTCTTCCGGGGTCACACCATCGCTGATGTCCTGCCAGCACACGGGTTTCTTGGCGATCTTGATTCCGAGTTCATAGGGTGTAGGGTCGTCGTGCTCAGGGGGTTCCAAAGCTTCGCTTTCAGCCCCCAGGCGCAGTAATCACACCTCCTTTTCTTGGGATAGCAAGGAACGAGGTAACTCTGAAATGTCACAAAATGACTTATTCTCTCGATATCTCGAAAGAAGTGGGGTGGTGGCTTCGTATAGGGTCTGAAGGGGTTCCACAGAGTCGATCATCCGGGATACTTGTACGAGTGGTTCTCCAAAGATTAGAGCCCAAGTCTGCTGTAGGTTCTTTTCCGTAAGGACGAATGTTTTCGTCGTTTCCTGTCGAATGGGATAGCGGATCAATCGATGCATCCTATAATGGATTACGGGATTGAAATCATCGTCACTGTCGGAGGAGCTGCTAGGCTACTCGGGTTCTTTTCCTTTTTGATCGTTTTCGGGGACTGGTTCCTCCCATGTGATCACCCGAAGGGGTCCTTTGATTTCGGAGGAGGTTTTGGAGGCAGTGTGGTCCGAAGAGTTAGTCGCATCGGAATGACGTACGACTTTCCACCCGTATTTCGTAGGATAACCGATCGTCTCTCGAAGTCCAGGTTAGCCTGCAATGCTGTGAGGGCCGGTAGTCCCAAAAGGACATTGTAGGTGAACACATCCAATACTACGACATCTCCCAAGGCATGAACTTTTCCTAATCGAAAAGCGACATTCGTCATTCTTCCTACCGCTTTGATTTTTTCTTCGTCCTCTGAGACGAGATGATCACCTTCCGCTAATATGATTAGATTTTTCTTTGTCCCTGCCCGCTTTACAACCTTCAACGAGATAGCCAGCACTGCAGCTCCCGAATCGAGGATGGCATTATACGATTTTCCCCAAACCTCGATATCGCATTCTGCGGATTTCCACGGAACGGCTTTGATCTGTAGAAAATGATCATCTTTTTCCATTATTCCTAGCTGCATTGGCGTCGAAGTGCTAGGGATGTTTGGCTGGTCTTCGAGAGCGGGGGATCGCCGGGGGTCTTCCCTTTCTGCATTGCTAACTTGGTGAGTGCAAACCATTTCCTATTTTCCTTGCAATGGTGCAACATACGTTCGTTGGCTTGTTCTGATATGGACAACAAGTGCCCGATGAGCAACGAAATCCGGTGATCCAGGGCTCGGACGACGTCTAGGACATTGATCTCCTCAGTGACGAAGGTAGGACCGCCCGACTCCATCTCCCTCGAGGACGGTCTCCATTCGGTCACTTCTCTCTGCTCATCCGCGGGCCGGATGGTTCCAATCATTCCCAACCCCGGATAACCCAAGGCGACGTATTGATCAAGCGGGATAAGTTCTGCCGCTTCCTCGGAAGTGGCTACAACGTTTCCTCCATTTTCTATGGGCCTATGATGAAGTCAACCCCTTTTTACCGGTATGGACGTTGAGATTCCCTTCTACGTCTCGGATCGCGAGAGTCTGAGGCATCAACGATTCTGGGAACGTTGGGAACGGGAACGTGCCTATTAAGCCGCGCGACCCCGGTCCCACCTCCCCGAGTTCCCTTTCTACGTGGGAACGGAGCGCGTATGTGAATGGGATATTGAACGGGCTTTAAGTGTGATTCCCTTCTCACCCCGATTTCCCCACTCGCACGCACGACACATCATCGTCGAGCTAGGAATCGCCATCATTGAGACCAATTATCCTCCCCACCGCCTCGCAATCCCCTTTCACTGTCTAACAGCGGTCCCCTGGTGCGCGCTCTACCCCTACTGGCCGCGGACCCTGTGCTCGGAGTGCCAGCAAGACCGTGTTTACCGCACAGCGGGATTTGTCCGCCACCCGAACTGAGGCGGACCAGCGATCGCACAGTCTCCAACTGAGACCAGCCTCGTCCGATTCCGAAGTCTGCTACGAGCGACGTCGATGGCTAACCAGCCAGCGCGACACTCATAGCGTCCCGGAGGTCCATCAGATCCGAGACCGACCACGATGCTGATACTCACACCAGCGGTAGCCTTGTGTTCCGAAGCCCAAGCTACCGATGCAACTCGGGATTACCATCTTGCTCAATTACCCTTGAACTGGCCACAGGAGATCTCAGTTCTGACCTGGGACTCCGCTACAATTTCCTAAAATCCTTGGCACACCCCTCTTTCGCACTTTCGGGGCCCCATCCCACTCCGATCAGGAAGTCGCACTGGGCATGAGGTTGGGCGTCACAGCCCTTTTGGCCGTTAGAAGGGAACTCTTGATGAGAGGTTATCCACGGCGCCTTGTAACCTCTACGTTTCAAGCGCTGGGGGCGACGTTAGGGGTTGGTGCCGAGGAGGCAGCTGCTGCCTCGGTCTCATTGGGGGTTTGGTTCTGATTGCCAAACAGGCCCTTATGGCCTGAGTACCTTTAGCCCAGTGGTTCTCTGAGGACTGTGTCCATCTTCTGATTGGCGGCCGCCTACAGATTCACGTCGATTTTGTGCTCCCGCTGCCGGTGAAGTGCCAGTGCGACTTCTGCTGTGTTATGGTACCCTGATCTGGGCGGTTGATGGGACCCTTTACCGGTTGGCAGGGCGTTGTGCTCTGTTGTTTATGGTTTTGTACGTTTTCTCGGGCTCCATACAGATGGTTGCCGTTGGGACCCTTTGTGGTACCTCGCTTGATCTTCCATTCGCGCGGTACCTTCTCAACACCGGCGTCAGACTATTTACTCTGCTCAGCTGCTCGGTAGGCTCTCTCATCTCTGGGTTTGCAAACATGCAGCCGGTTGCTGCGCTGTCGTAGCCGGAGCCGCCGCCTAGCTATGGTGCCAGAGCCTGACCCGTCAGGGGTGTTGCTAGCTGAAACCATGACGCATGGTGGTCTTCTGTTGCCTCAGCGGTTCGTCCGTGTGCTGCATCTCTTTGGCACGGCGAGGTGGTGATCCTTCGTGCCGGCATTTTTCTGTTGTGCCTTCTGTGTGTTTGGCTGTATTTCTGTGTGTGCAGGAGGTACTCGGGTGCTGACCAAGCGGCAGGGTACTTCACCATTCCTCCACTGTCACTCTGATCGTGCCGAGACAGTTTTTTGGGGGTTCTATGGTTGCTATGGCCGCTCTCTTGGCGCTTGAGTTTCTGTCGGCTGGCCCAATCGTCGTATTTATCGACGATTGCCCTTGCAGTTTTGATGCCACACTGGATGCACGATGGATCTATTGTGCTGGGATCTTGGGTTTCATTGGTCGTTGTCTGATGGCTTCGAGGAGGGTAGGAGTAGGTTAGTTGAATTGGGGGCAAGGCATACGGTACGACCTCCTGGACAGCGATGTCTTGAATCTTTTAGGGGCTCTTCCCCCTGATGAGTCCATATGCGGTGGTGGACGAAACGCGTCGGGGAAGTACCGCGCGATTGTACTTTGTTCTGAGATTTTTCGATATTGCTATGGTTTTGTGCCTATATATACATGTGAGATGGAGCGTGGCTATCATTGTGAATCTTTGCTCTCTGTCCTCATGTGTCCGCTTTCTGTGCCGGGCAGCTTGTTATCTTCCTCTCCTCTGTAACTGCCCCCCCAATTTGATGGATTTGGGCGTTGGGGTTGGTCACTCCCTCGTCTGTTCACTCTCTTCCTTTCGCTGTGTGGCGCGGCGGCCTATAATTTAGAATAGC